TTAAAAGAAAATTGCGTATCATATAGCGCAAGCTGCAATTAAAAGTAGCGCACAGCGAGGACAAGAAAGAGACATTGCGCCATCCTTAATGCTATTTCGGGATTATCTAACTTTTCCGCCTACAGTTGAAAAGCGTCCTTTGGCATAAATCGAGTGCATTTGATCCACCGCCCTATGATAGGCGTCCAATTAGAGTATACAATGGAGAGCTGAAGATGATCTTTGTTTGATAGTTGTCAATGGATTCTACGGTAGAATGCCGCCATGTAGAAGTAATTACTACAATCTTTCTTAGAAAAAGGCGGCTTTTCTTAACCAACGTTTCTTCATTGAGTTAAAAGGAAAAGTACCAAAAAATCCTAAACCTATTGTATTGATACCAATTCAATTTTAAACTTTTTTTTTAGTCGAAAAGTCCTAAACTTTTCAATTGGATCGATTTAGTCCTAAACTTTTTTACATTGGTACAAATTCAGTTCACTCGACCAATTTAGGTCGGAAATCTCTAACGTGAATGCCAACCAAGCTACGTAGGACGGCTGACGTTGACGTGGATATTTTTAATAATATTTTAATATTTTTTTAAATTATTTTTCTTTTTTTGCCCTTTTCTTTTCGCCAGTGGCCAATCACCAGCCACAGGCCATAGCTGACAAGTGCTGGCCTCGCCTAGGCGAGGGCGAGCACCAGCAAGGCCCCCTTGCTAGATTTGGCGAGGTCGACCTCCGTTTAGGCTAGGGCGGCTTCGCCATGGCTTGCCTAGGTGCGGGTTGGCCTTGCTAGGCCTCGCCTGGGTGAGGGCGAAGCCAGGGGCCGAGGCTAGGCGAGCCTTGCCTAGGTGATAGCAAGGCCCGGCCTCGCCTCGACCAAGCGTGCTACGGGGAGGCCGCCCTAGCCTAGGCGAGGGTGAGTACTCGCCCAGGCATGGCGTGGCGAGGCCAACCCTCGACTGTGGCCGGCGATTGGCGACCGGAGAAATAAAAAGGAAATAAAAATTTAAAATATATAATAAAAATATATTATAATTTTATTAGAAATATTCACGATAGAGCCAATCATGCTACGTAGGATAGCCGGCATCCACGTCAGCGATTTTTTACCTAAATTGGTCGGATGGACTAAATTAGTACCGATTGCAAAAGGTTTAGAACTAAATTGGTCCAATTGAAAGTTTTAAGACTGAATTGGTACCAATACAATAGATTTAAGACTTTTTGGACTTCTCTCTTGAGTTAAAAGGTAGGCGAGGCCACTTTCCACCAAGAAGTAGGAAGACAAGTGAAACTGTAGTTTGACCTCGAATTATTAAGCAACGTTAAGGCGGTCCTGCATTTAATTAACCCAATTAATATGTTCTGGTCTGTGTTTGATTGATCCATCGAAATGGGCCGATAACATTTCTGTCTCATCAAGACTTTTAGTTTATGTTTCTCCAAAATTGTAGATATCTTTTCCATTTCTCTATTTGCCCTCGTTTAGATCATCTGAAGGAAAAAAAAAAAAAAGGCACACAGATTATCTCTTCGGTTGTATAAGAGTAATATTCAAACGGCCAATAAATGGCATTATGCAACTTCAAGGAGTTTGATTTCAAAAACCGCACTGCCATCCGGTAGTTGAGAACCCGACGGAATAGAGGTTTGATCTGTGGACTGAAAATAATTCAAATGTTTAGTAGCCAAAAACATGACAAGCCATGGAACACACACAGACCACAAAAACTAAGGCTGGTTCAGTCTCTTTCCGAACAGAAACTCTTGGACTCAAAACATGGATAGAGAGAGAGAGAGAGAGAGAGAGAGAGAGAGAGAGAGAGAGAGAGAGAGAGAGAGAGAGAGATGAATGAATTGCACGTTAGGTGATGAGTGGCAATCGTCTGATGATGAAGTGGCAACAGCTTGCAAATCAATTTATGCTCATTCTTTTGTGTCAACGTGTTCATTTCGAAAATCAGTAGATGGGTCACCCAGATCTGCTTTGTTGGGTGGTGCAAGACTCAACCGACGAGTTCTCCTAGGCTCGAGTATTTTTCTTTTCCCATTTAAATGTGTTCAATTAAGCCCCCTACATTTGATGTTTTTGCCAATCAACTCACCATGATGACATAAACTTAGCCATTGTTGTTTCTTTTGCCCTAACAGGCCTCAATATTGGACAGACGTAAGACTTGTCGAGCGATATTTTTGCTACGGTCACTTCCGTGTTTTCACCGGAGTCAGAGTCATCTTGCGATTCATAGTTGTCGACCAAGGCCGTAGTTTATTTGAACTCTCTATGTGGCTTCTTATCTCTTCCTTGTAATAACTGCTCATATTTAGACACTCTCGTCGCCAATTGAAACAAATCAACAAAGTCTTGATCTTCGAATCTTTCTCTAATGTTTAATTTTAACCCGTTAAAGGCCAAAAGCTTAGCACGAAAGTGCAATTAAGTTCTAAAATTTTCAAAAAGTGCGATTGAGTCCTAAAACTTGTCTAGTTGGTGCAATCAAGTCCGTCCAACTTAATAAATGAAAAATGCTAACAAGTTTTAGGACTTAATTGCACTTTTTTTTTATAGATTTAGAACTCAATTGCACTTTTGTAACAAATTTTAGGACTTGATTACACTTTTTGAAAGTTTTAGAACTCAATTGCACTTTCGTGACAAGTTTTAGGACTTCAAATGCACTTATCCCTAAATTTATTTAGTGTAACCATATCTCCATACTCATGAATCTCTAGTTCACAAGAGCAAGGTGGGCTCTTTGTCTTACTCGAGTCCCCTACTGGCCTATAATAATTCAGTGGTGACTCTTGAGTTCAATATCAAACGAATCATTGAATGAGAAAATCAAGTTGTGATCGGCAAGATTTGAGAGGACTCGTGCTACACATAAGTGCCCCTTCACAAAAAGGATCATTTGTGCTCGTTCAGTAATCCATTATAACTCCCTTGGGGTTCACCATGGTTGTGTCAACCTTTACATAAAAGCATATCTTAAAATGACGTGTGGTAAAATTGTATATCAACATGTACGCATTACAGAGTAGACATGTGTGTGTGCGTGCTACTATATATATCACAATCTTCTTCTTTTTTTCTTTTTTTCCTTTTTTTTGTAAACCAGGGCATGAGCACAAAAGCTTAACTATTTGAAAGTCCATAAAGCATCCTATAAGTCCCATGAACCTGCTAAGTCCGAACCTTCAACCTATGCATATATCTTCGAATCTGAGTAGTATGCACATAGTTGATAAGATTCGGAAAGGTGACCTCCTGTTAATGAGTTGAAAATCTTATGACATCCCAACAACCTAGGCAATCTCGAAGAGTTTGTATATCAATATCTTGAACCTATATAAATGTACAAAATCTGGTTCATGTTTAATACTATAAGATCGAGATTAACCTACCCCTAAAAGCCCAGATTTGGCTTTTATGTAAGCAGTTTAGAAGCATGGCTTCAGATTGGGACCTTCTATATTATGGATTTACATTCCAAATTTAACTCTTTAAGAGAAGGATACATTAATGCGTTGAATTAATTTCAATGATTAACACTATGTTAGTTAGAAGGGAAGATAAAATGGTTGTAAAGACGGCCTAATTCCAAAAAAAAACACTAACTTTAAGTTGAGGGACAATTCTGGACTCAACTTTTTTTTGTCCCGTAAAAAAACACCAACTTTTGGTCGAGTGACAATTCTGGCCCCAACTTTTCTTTTGTCTCGTAAAAAAGCGCCAACTTTCACTTAAATCCCAAATATGACCCCTATTGACTTAGAAGTTAGAACCATTAATTATTCAACTTGACTGTTCCATCTTAGCAATAAATCCATGTGGCTTGCTGATTGGATTTAAAACACTATTCATTATCTTATTCTCTGAGCCACAACTTGAAGAATAACGGTGAAACTGTTCGTCTCATTCACTTCACCGGCAAGTCAAAAATATCTCCAGATTGAATCTCTCTGGCCAGACTTCGTCATTTTTTCGTGATCTAAAGCTGTAGACCGCCGCCCGTCGACAGATGCTATGGATGAGATTCGCCAGGCTCACCATCATAACCTTTTTTCTCAAACAAGGGTGACTTCAGACAGAAAGTTAACAAGGGGTCAGATTTGGGATCAGGGTAAAAGTTGGTGATTTTTTATGAGACAAAAAAAGTTGGGGCCAGAATTGTCATTCGACTTAAAGTTGGTGCTTTTTTACGGAACAAAAAAAATTCGGGCCAGAATTATTTCTTGACCTAAAGTTGATACTTTTTTTTTTGAAATTAACCCTTGTAAAGACATAATCGTGTTTGGATGAAGAAAAAGAGACCAAGGGAAAGGATTAGGACGGATTGATATGGTCATACATTTTGAATCCCTCCGAAACTTTCTAAGTATAGGAGGAAATTGGGTATTACTAAAGAATTTTATTCTTCTTTCTCTCATATACCATATTAAATCTATTTATAAATACAAAAAATGACATTTATGTCATAATGCATACTTTTCCTCTCTTTTCCCTTTCTGACATCTAGACATCATCATAACACAATCCCTTCAAACCCTCTATTTTCAATTGCTTATAATTATTTAAATTTGTTCTTTTCCTTTCAAATCACTCTATCCAAACTGGGTGTAAAATGTTTTCTTTTCTTTTATTATTTAATTTTGTTTTTTTCCCCTTCTTCCTTCTCTGTGTGTGGCCGTCATTGTTGCTTTGCTGCTTGTTGCGTCACCATTCACTATTGCCACCACTATTTCGTCATTGGGACTAATGGGGTTTTGATTTCAAAAGGCATGTTTTAATATCCCAAGTAAGACACTCAGATAAATGAATTCTTTTCCCCAATGAATGGAGACAGGCATGTCTTCAATCAGTGGATGGCAATTGAATTATGTTTTTGCGCGTGCAGATTCTTGCTAGTCGCGCTGCGTAAAGACCTACACTAATTGTAGCCTCATCATGGAAATTAAATCTAAACCCTTGTTTCACTCTCCCTTGTACGATTTGAAAGCTTATCCATATGATTGAAATGGTGGTCCTTCAATTAATTTCCGTCATTTTGTTCACTTGTGAGCCCCGTAGGAAGCTTCCATCAGACAAAGATTCATAGTCCGACAGATGCATGATTTTAATATTAACATGAGTGACACTACATTGACTACAATTCTTTCCACTTTCCTCCAACTTGATATGACAGACAAGAGTAGTCCTGATTTTTCTCATCAAACATATTTACGCATGCGCACCCACACACCGGCCCCCGAATTTTCATTCCCAACCACCTGAATGCACGCACCACCCTCCTCATATGGCAAGCAAGAGCCCCGGCAACGACCCGTCGAAGCGGTCCCTCACCTGGCTCTGCCAAAGTGTATGGTTTGCCCGCGCCACCTCCCACCGCGGCAACGACACTTCTCTCACGGTGAGCCACGTGTTGAAATACTCCCTGAGCTGCGTGATCAGCCCGTTCTTCAGCGTCCACGCATGGACCCAATATGCCTGCGCCCCTTCCCACCCCTCGGCGATCACACAGTCGTCGCCTATAGCCGTTATGCGACGTGGATGGAATGTAAACGCGGAGCAGTCCGATTCCCCGGTGAGCACCCGCATCAAGTGCTGGCAACCGGGCGGCCCGTGGAACCACCATTCGAGATCGCTGGCCAGGAGCTTGGCCACCTTGTCGGAGTCGCCGAGAGCCAATGCGGCGTAAAGGGCCTCGACGGTGGCTTTGTTTTTGCCGGATTCTGGCGTGGTAGGTTCAATGTCAATGGTTGCCATTTTGGTTTATAAATGAAGGAATGTAATGCGATAGAGAATGGGTCTAAAAGCTAAAAGAAAAGTGGGATGGATTTTGTATGGAACGTGGCTTGCTTTCTTGCTTGGGAGCGTTGGCCTTGGTATTGCACTATAGGCCTAGCGGTGAACCTATTTATAGCATGAAACTGGGACTCGGGAGAGGAAGAGGAGATTGGGACCCACTCTGCTAATTAGTCAGAGATCAACGGTGGTGATTCGTGTTGGTGATAACGTAGGAGATCAGACGGACATTTCATGCTCCTAAGATGGGGATGTCCTTTGTGCCACGCTTGATGCCAAGCAAGAACTCATGCAGGCCACAATAATACAACTCTAAATTCAATGCTCTTCTGGGGACAAACAATGGCAAGTGGATCCGAAAACCATAATAAAACTTTCTGGGCGTAATGACCATTCTACCCCTTGTAGGGTTTCTCTATCCAGTCACACCTTTATTTCTCTTCCTCATGGCAGAAAATTCACTTTAGATAGGTAATCCCTAATTCGTATATGTTGAAATCTAAATTTTAGCTAACCATTTAAGAATTTATTGCATAAAAATTAGGGATTAATCTTTAACCACTAAACAAAAATACTAAAGTTAAATTACATAGCATATAGTTTAGGAGCACATAGTTTAATTGCATTGTGCATCGGACCGGCGGTGGCAAATAAACTCTAATAAGTTGCGCAGATTTGGCCCAAACATCAAGCAAAACTCAGTCAGGCTAGGGGCATTGTGGCCAAAAATTTCAAGGCAAGATGGGCATAATTGAGCTTAATTTGATTATATATCAACCCATTGAAGTTTAAACACAATTTAGCCTTAGGTTATTAGAGCCCATCACATTAGAAGGGCTTAAATTAACCCACGACAGTGACATAAACCTAAGTTGATGCTATATATAGATAGGTATGCCTCTTAATTGAGAGGTCGGTAATGCTAATTTCAGAATACGGAAAGTGAAACATGTGAGGTCAGAAAGAGAGAGGAATGGGTCTCTCGGTCAAACACCTTCTGGCCAAGACTCCTCCATCGGTGCCACCCTAGGCCGAGACCCCACCAGCCGACTCGACGCTGCTGTTTCCCCTTGCTGGCAACACCTTAGTCCAAACGACCAACTGCTTCCACCGCGACAAGCCTCACTGCGACGAGTTGGCCTGACGCTACTTTTTCCCCGCTCGACACTGAAGATCACTAGCTGCTGCCGCCATGCTGCTCGCCAACCTATTGACACCCCAACCAAGATGACGTCGAGCCCGCTGCTGCTTCCCTCTCGATGACAACACCTGCTGCGACTTGCTGCTCCTCCGTGACGTCTGCTGCTGCCTCCTGACCTGATGTTGAGCCAAAGATGTTGATCCCTATTGTCTTGTGCTGTTCAATCTGCGCCTGCCGCGACTTGCTGCTCCTCAATCCAATAATCCTTGTGGCTCCCGTCTAGAGTTGAAATTACACATCACAGTCTCATGCACATATCTATGTGATTGACATGGTTCTACTAGGTGAAGTAAGTCTTATAAACCTTTGCTTTGCATTTTACTTATTTTTCCGTATCTTTTTTGTTGGTCTATGACATTAGGTTAATCATAAGTCTTGGTCTATATACTATGGGATGAGTCAACATCCGAATTATTACTGCTCTTAAAGACGAGCCCACAAAATGATGGAGTAGACTCAAGCCGACTAGCCATATTTTTGCTAAGTCCAAGATAGGACAATTACTCCCTTTGTTGGAAATAAAGGTCCGTTGTGGCCTCATTCGAGCATTGGTGCATTTCTGGTGTCCGGAAACGCCTACCTTCATATTCGGTGAGCATGAACTTACTCCTACTTTGGAAGAATATAGCATCGTCATTGGAAAAAATTTGGACTCAGAATTAATTCCCATATTGATTTTATTTGAATTTTTTAGTATCAAGGAAGATGAAGTAAGAAGAATTTTGAAGGGAATTGTGGGACATGTACTTCCTCATTTTTGGGTCAATGCTTTAATAATGCTACACCATTTCAAAAGAGTAAGATCTTCTTGCTAGCTTTCTTTGGATTTGTAGTTTTTCCTCATTGCAAGAATGCTTGTAGCCCGTCGATTGTGTGGTTGGTTCAACAAGTTTGTGTTTTAGCAATACCATTTTAGTTGAAATTTTTATTTCCCTTACTAAATACAAGCAAAATGATAAGAAAACATTTCATGCTTCTCCCAAGCTTTTGCAAATTTAGTTTCTTTCTCACATAAAAGGGTGTGGAAACCTATTGACAATACCTGAGGTCAATAATTCCAATCACCCCATTTTGAGATTTAAAGATAAGCAAAAATATGCTCCGGACTATCACTATTCTGAATGGCTACCTTTTATGGAAAATCCGAGTCCCAAAGGTTTCTAGTGGCATGCTAACTGGTTCCAAGTCTAGGAGACACAATTCGCATGTGATGGTATCAGACCGGTCTCCCTGCTAAGCTTTACTGGCGCAATCGAGTACTACCCCTCCTGAGTAACTCGTCAATATCAAGTTGTGCAAGAACTCCTACAAGCATTACAGCCAGAGCTAATCTGGGCCGATTTCAATGATGAGGATGACTACCATGAATGGACCATTAGCTTGATCAAGCTAATGTGGGGCATGTGCCGATCGCTGAAACTTGTACGGCCCAAAAAAGAGTTGAAGGGGAAACAGAAGATCTATCATGCATCAATTGAATACATCTGATTGCACAAGACTCCAAAGAGGTTACTCCCGAAGATATCCAAACTGCCTGTCAAGTCTACTAATCATGCAAGGAACAACCTTCTTAAGAGGAAGGCCAAAGAAGCCCAAGAACATGCCTCCAAGCTAGCTCAAGCATATATGTAGTTGCAAAAGGAAGTCGCCTATGATGTATATTAGATCATGCCGAATAAAAAGGCTTGAATCTATCTTTTGGTTTCATTTTTTAGATTCGTTGTTTAGGAAGTTGAGTCATTTATTTTCTAGCATATTTGTTTAGGGGATGTCAAGTTGTTGCTTTCATAGTTATTGTTCAAGAATTTCATCAGAATAAAAGGATTATTTCATTAATGAATAAATCGATGCAGTTAGACCTGTGTCATGGACTGGCATGTGATTTTTCTTCGATGCTTATGTATGCCCAATTGTTTGCGAATTAGGTGATTACGGAGCAATCCCACTCACCTATTCGAACGAGGTCAAGAGCAAGAATGGGTGATCAAATTGAATTGTGTGAACGCATTACCAATATTGAGGAAAGTGATCTTATTACTTTTTAGGCATCTATAGACATTTCATGTGCAATTCCGTTCAACTGAAAATCGCTGCTCTATTTTCATAATATGACGACGGTTAGGAACCCATTGAGAAAAATGTGAAGGAGACGGTTATGCATTTAAAACTCCTAGACGTGGTTGTCCATTTGCGCTTGGAATAGCCGACTCGGTATTCATAATCCATCAGATCATATGGACTTTATGTGGGACCTAAACGATCCAACACATGTGATCTACTGGACTTACATGTAGACATGGCCACGGGGTCGGTTTTGGCCCGGAACCGGCCCGGGTCAAACCCGGAACCGGCCCGTTGACCGGGCTCGCTGTTCGGAACCGGAACCGACCCGTGGCCTACGGGCCCGGTTCAAAAAAAAAAAAAACTGCTGCTGCACAGCTGCAGCCCCACGTTGGGGCCCCCACCAACGCCCACCTCCTCCAGACTCCAGTCCTCCTCCTCCAAATTCCTCCTTCCCCCCTCTCCCTTGCGCCTCCTCCGGTCCTCCCCTTTTCTCCTCCGCCCGCCCCCCATCTTCCCAGATCTGACTCCCGCCGCTGTCGCCCCCGCCCATGGCCGCAGCCGCCGATGCCGACGCCCCCTCCTCCTCCCCTCTCGCTACCCTGCGCCTCCTCCCCTTTTCTCCTCCGCCAGCCCCCCGTCTCCCCAGATCTGACCCCCGCCGCCGCCGCCGCCCATGGCCGCAGCTGCCAACGCCGACGCCCCCTCCTCCTCCCCTCCTCCCGACCCCGCCCAGCCCCCGGAGGAGGAGGACCCCCCGCTCCTCCTCCTCGTCCCCGTCCCCCTCTCCCTCCTGGCCCCCTCCTTCTCCCCCTTCGCCGCCGCCCCCGTCTCCCGCTTCATCTCCTCGCCGCCTTGAACCCCGCCACCGTGGCCAAGGCCGCGAAGCCCGAGCGACGACCAACGGAGGACCAGGCCTGCAATTTTTATTTTATAACTTATTTTATTAATTTTTAAATTACGAACCGGAATCGGTCCGAAACCGCCGGTTTCGGTTCATACATGGCCACGAACCGGAACCGCCGGTTCCTGAACCGTGGCCATGTCTACTTACATGCTCCGAGTTCACCTAACAGTTATTCCTGAACTCTAGAGCCCAAAAAAGAAAAAAAAAATAGGAAGGAGAATTTTGTAATTTGTGGAGCATTCGGGTTAATGGCGAGCCGTATGATGCCAGCCTGGCAGTATCTTTGACTGCTTTGACTCGTGTTTTCATTAGTTTATTTTTTTTCTGGATAACAACGTGTGGAGGCTGTCTAAGGTCGCTTTCAGCGTGCGCGTAACACATGAATTTCCTAAAGTACCCCCAAGTTCCAGACAGATTAGCATTGGCAGGTGTCACAGGCTCACAGCTGCCACTGACATGACAATTGAACTTCGAAAAGGGTGGCGCGTGATTTGTGATCCCTCCCATTAGGTAAAATATCAATTATTAATTAAATAATCCCAACATCCCTGTCTACGTCCCATGCAATGTCAAAATTAGTTTTTTTGAGGCACTCTTCCAAGGTATAAGAAATGTTAAAGAAACAGGCTTAATTAATGCCACAAAAAATTCAAATTATATTCACTACGGCACAAATATTCAGAACTTTTGTTTGTATCACTAAAAATCTTAAATTTATCCGTCGTGACACAAATATTCCAAATTTTTTCTTGTATTGTAAAAAATCCCGAACTTATACCAACGTGACAAATATGTTTTGGATGGAATTAAAATAAAAGATATATATGTCACATATGTATAAATTTAGGTTTTTTCGAGATACAAAAAAAGTTAGGGATAGTTGTGTCACGGTGGATTCACGTCTAACTTGGAGTATAGCTCCTTCTGTAGG